GACTGTTTGTTTGATGACAGGAGATACTTCGTCTTGTCCTCGTTTACCACCAGACCCATGCGCTTTGCTTCCCTATCCAACTTGGAAAAGGCAGAACAGACTTCGCGGTTTTTGTTACCGATGATGTCGATGTCATCGGCATAAGCCAGCAATTGCACGCTCTTGTAGTAAATTGTTCCTGAGCGGTTCAGTTCTGCAGCTCTTATTATCTTCTCCAACATCAGATTAAAGAAGTCACATGAAAGGGAGTCGCCCTGTCTGAAACCCCGTTTTGTGGCGAACGGCTCGGAGAGGTCTTTTCCAATTCTGACGGAGCTGGTGGTATTGCTCAACGTCATTTTACACAGCCGTATGAGTTTTGAGGGGATGCCAAATTCAGACATAGCGGCGTATAGGCAACTCCTTTTAGTGCTGTCAAAAGCGGCTTTAAAGTCGACAAATAGGTGGTGAGTGTCGATCCTTTTCTCGCGGGTCTTTTCCAAGATTTGGCGTATTGTGAATACCTGGTCTATGGTGGATTTGCCAGGTCTAAAGCCACACTGATAAGGCCCAATCAGTTCATTGACGGTGGGCTTCAGTCTTTCACACAATACGCTCGATAAGACCTTGTAACCTATGCTTAGAAGGCTGATCCCGCGGTAGTTGGCGCGAATGGCGGGGTCACCTTTCTTGTGGATTGGGCAGAGCACACTTAAATTCCAGTCGTCGGGCATGCGTTCATCTGACCATATTCTGCACAAAAGTTGATGCATGCACCTTATCAACTCCTCGCCACCGGACTTGAATAGCTCAGCTGGCAGGCTGTCAGCTCCAGCGGCTTTGTTGTTTTTCAGCCGCGTTATTGCTATACGTACCTCGTCATAGTCAGGCGGTGGAACGTCGACTCCGTCATCATCGACTGCGGGCTCGGGTTCTTCTTCTCCACAACTTTCTGTGCTGCTGCCATTTAGTAGGGCGGAAAAGTGTTCCCTCCATAATTTAAGTACGCTCTGGACATCAGTTACTAGGTCGCCATTATTGTTCTTACAGGAGTGCGCCCCGGTCTTTAAACCTTCCGTAAGTCGCCTAACTCTCTGGTAAAATTTTCGGGCATTCCTCCTGTCGGCCAGCATTTCAAGCTCTTCGCACTCACGTATTTCTGCCTCTCTCTTCTTGTTGCGGCAAATACGCTTCCCTCTTCAGATCCCTATAGCGGTCCCACATAGCGCGCGTTGCGCCCGATCGCAGCGTGGCCCTGTAGGCGGCATCTTTTTTCTCTGCAGCTTCCTGACACTCCTCATCGTACCAGTTGTTCTTTCGGGCTCGCTGAAATCCGACTACTTCTTCGGCGGCGGTACTTAATGAGCGGGAAATGTGGTTCCACTGCTCGCATATGTCGGTTTGTTGAAGAGTGCTCTCTGAGAGCAGGTGTGAGAGTCGAGTAGCGAAAGCGCTGGCTGTCTGTTGAAGACTTAAATCTATACATAATAATAACAAATAGTATAAAGGAAAGTGGAGATTCTTTGTACGCGCTAATCTCAAAAACTACTGATGGATTTGGACGCGATTTACTCTAATATAATTTGTATCAATAGAAGAGTGACCATTTGTATTTAGGATTTTAATAGGGTTGTCACCTGTTTAAAAACCATAAGATCTTCACCCTTCGTTGGATAAAGAAATGAGATACCAAATGAAAGTGCATGGCCTTCGCATGTACAAAAACTTAAATTTTTTTGAGTAGGGTTGCCACCTATTTAAAATTACTATCTTATGCTTAGGTAGTATAAAGCAAAGTCGAGAGTTTTTGTCTCGGCTAATCGCGAAAAGTACTCAAAAGATTTGGACCAGATTTTGTTTAGTATAATCAGTATCGATTACGGGTATTATCTTTAGTACTTAGAATATCTATAGGGTTGTCACCTGTGTAAAAAGGTATAGGGAACTTGAATTACAAAAAGTGAGATGTCAAACGAAAAGGCTTGGCCTCTCGGCGTTCAATAATGTATAATTGTTTGAATTATTGAGAATGAAATCAGGTCAAACGCATTGAAAGTTCGCGCACTATTAACGCTGCAGCCGAATATGGAAAAGTTGTTATACATACATACGTGCCTTCCTTGTTTGAAGCCTAGTAGTAGTATCAGGCATTGGAAACGGGTGGCAAAAGGCTATACACATTACCTATTCATAGTAGCAAGTGGGAAGTTTGAGATAACACAATCCCAACAGATGTTCCTGCGGATGACTTCAGACTGAAATCGAAATATTGACAAATTAAAAACGAATGTAAAATCAAACAATCTGTCTGATTTTCATGTGGCAATAAATAATAGAACAATTTACTACAAGAGCGTGCAATTGCTGGCTTATGCCGATGACATCGACATCATCGGTAACAAAAACCGCGGAGTCTGTTCTGCCTTTTCCAAGTTGGATAGGGAAGCAAAGCGCATGGGTCTGGTAGTAAACGAGGACAAGACGAAGTATCTCCTGTCATCAAACAAACAGTC